AATTCTGGGAGGTACTCTGAACAGTAGTGATGTACACATGTAATGTACAACAGGTGCTGTTTTTGGAACGAAATCTTCACCCATGATGGACGTCCATCTTCCATTTACAGTGGATTGAGAGTAGATGGCACTCCAAGATGTCTTTTATATAGGGGTCCATATAAACCACCGAACTTGGGGATTGCGCCATCTACTCCCAAGCCACTATGGACGTCCATCTTCCCAAGTCTCTGAAGCACCGCGGCGCTTCCCTCCGGCTGCAAGGCGTCTGCGGTGCCGAGCTGGAGCACATCAGCAGCCGCTCCCGGATTCTGCGGTTCTTGGAGGCGCAAGACGCTCGCACGGTCCGGTCTGTTGTGGGGTTCGAGTGCAGGTCCAGGTGATCACGGTGATCCCGGCGTTCACGATGTGAGTCGGCCATATATAGATATACATTATGAATGAGAAATGAACTTTTGAAGGTTCTCTTTAAGAAGAAAACACGTGCATGGTTGTGTTGCCCAATGAGTGTCCAACCAAAGGGTCTCATCAATGGATCCATGATGATCCATGATGATTCATGATCCATGTATGGATGTATTTTTCTTTCCCGTTGCTTCCATTCCACTGCATCCTGGACCGATGAAATCGGCGGATGTTCGCGAGAGAAGTCGTGAGACCCTCGGAGATGTTCTTCTTAGCCTCTTTTGGACATCAACAACCAGGTGCATCAAAAAGACAGTTGTGAGTTCTTGGTTCTTACCGCCTTTGATGGTGCCTTCGGCTGAAAAAAAAGGCAAATCAGCAAACCCCCAAGAAAAGAACATAAAAACAACTCCGACTCACTCCATGAAACGCAGGAGTTGGACCATGGGGCACAACGCACTCTTTGTCCTTTCGGTTTGCAGGACATGGACTCCTCTTGGCGCCACCGCATCGCCGACAACATGGTCGAGCGGCTCCTGGCGGCTTGGGCATCGATCAGCGATGGCGGAGACGGAAACGATTCCCATGGGGCACATCTATTACGTTAGTAGTAAGAATGCTCCGTTCGTAGCGATGCCAGGAGCCCCGTTCGTAGCGTCCTTGCTCCTGGTAGTAAGGCCAGGAGCCCCTAGTTGCTGATTTTACTACTGTAAGCAGAAACATTGGCGCTTTTCACTGTTCGGGTGCCAAGGATAGCTCTTTGGTCACTTGCGACCTGTGCGACAAAGTAGCTATTCGACGCTTGGCATGGGGAGATCGCTCGCGGCAACAGTCCCGAAGCGGCTAGCAAGTAGACCGTCGACCGCGCAAGAATGGGACCATGACATCGGATCCGAGTTCAAACCTGCAAAGCACCCGAGAAACGACATTCAGGATCCAGCTACTGTAGCTGAACATCCCTGCTAAACACTCAATTATTGGATGTCCAAACTAGCACTTCTATTGGCTCTGGTGGCTTCTAGGTCTTTCACGTTGTGAATCTGAACTAGCCTGAAGACACTTTGTGTGATTGTTTGGTTTCAAAGATCCCACATTGCTTGGACAGATACGATGTTTTATTTGTTTCCAGCGTAGCTGGTATGGCCGTGTGCTACAGCTTGACGGGACGTTTCATACAACGAAATACTGACAGCACCACGAACAGATCCAGATGTTGAGACGTTCAAGCCGGGTTGTGTTTCATCTTCTACTTCTTCACACGCGCATTGATGGTGCCCCTTTTTGCTTGCCTTTCATGTGCACAGGTGGAGCCCTTACTTACGTACTGTCGAACCATTTGTTTATCTCCTGGTTGTGCGAAAGGTCGAGCTCGCTGTTGCAGCAAGCGAAGTACCGATGTTGGTCAAGTCTGCACGACAGTCTCCAGGACGGTCTCCACCGTCCTGTCCTGTCCACACCCTTTGGATCAACTTGAATTTGAGTATAAGTCTTGTCGTTGCCAATGGTCAACTGATTGACGACCGCCCAAAGAAGCATCCGGTTCTTGGAAAGGTGTTTATCCAATCACCCAACTTGTTGAACGGGTCTTATCGGTTCAAACGAACTCACCTGCAGCGGTGAGAATGTGTGGGTCCGGGAAGGGTTAGAGATGTGTCAGGCCTCCTGAAGCAGCCTCCAACTGCATGTTGTACTCATACAAGACATAATATGAGGACCAACAACTGGGGAAGAGTCTATAGAGATAATCTGCCGCAGCGATCCTAGTCTCAGTAGAAGTAGCAGTAGGAGTGGAGTAGTAGTAGGTTTTCAAGCCAGAGTTCTAGTGGTTTCAAGCAACAGCTTGCTAAAACATGCTAAAATGCAAATAAAGTTTATAAACAATAAGACACCCATCGGAGAAGAAACTGTGTGCATGTTATGTTGTTGAATAGATTCCCTCCCTCAAATGGATTATTTGGGACAAGACAATCACTACAACTTCACGTACTTATGCATGTCCTCCAAGAGCTGGCCGATTTCCTCATGATTTCGCAGTCTGGAAGCAGTCTCGATGGTCGAGGGCGGCATTCGACTTAATGCAGTCTGAGGGGGCAAACCGTCCACCTGCAAACGTGTTCTGGGACGGTTCCAGGGTGCTGCACAGGGACATTCTTGGCTTTCGCCAAATCGCACTCTCGCCTACATTTCGCGCACTCGACACGCACGATCTGCGCAGAGGGTTGCGCCGGACTGGGCCAAATCGCACTCTCGCCCACATTTCGCGCACTCGACACGCACGATCTCTGCAGAGGGCTGCGTTTCGTGGTGCTCCGGCGGCCGCCCCCGGCCTTAAGAGAAAAAGTGAAGAAGACCGAGAGGTGAAGATGTAAGATCTGAGTGCGAGGATGTGAAGATGAGCAGAGATATAGCCGCGGGTAGGTGTTGCAATAGGTGGTGTATGTTCTTCCAACATCTGTGTGTAGTCAGAGTTGCTTCCATGTTGTCTCCGTGTTGCCTTGATGTTCAGGGCACTGTGTTTTTCCAGCGGATCTTCCCGCAGACAGGGCGCCCAGGGAGCAAGGGCTTGTGGACGTGCAAAAACGGACCGCATACCGTGATGCACCCAGCAGCCTATGACGTTTGCGCTTTGGCTGCATGGTGTGTGTTGGGTATCCTTTCTGTTAGACACCACCCGGTATCCTTTCTGTTAGACACCACCCAAAGATGTTTGTCATGTTCTGGAGCACATCCGGACAAACACGTGGTGAGCTGCAACCTACGCCCACCAGTGTTTATAGCAGCATCCTTGCCAGCTAGTTAGTCGGAGATTGGCTGTAAGACATTAAGACCGGAAGCAGCATTTACAGAAGGGCTTTCCAAACTATACTGCAACGCCTATCAAGGAACGCCAAATAAATATGCCTACAGCCGAAGTAATTGGCAAACCAGTCCCTGCTTCGCTGGTTCCTTCACGAGTTTCAAGCTGCCCGTCCTACACCATCGTGTCCCCCCATCTCTTGGTTTTCGCATGGACACTCCTCTTGATAGAACTTACTAGTAGATTCTTGCTACTAGTAGCGATGCACTTGTTACTATATTAGCGATGCCCTTAGTTACCAGTAGCTTCTTGTTCGTAGTGATGGCCTCCACCCTAGTAGCGTCCGTGCTCCTCTCCACCCGGATCCGTTCCAAGGCGAATCGTGTTTTGAAAAGTATTCGGGCGTGCACGTCCAGCTGGGCGACGGCAGAAGTAGCAGGCTGGCCCGACGGCCCGAGAGCCGGCTTGGGAATGGCACATGCCTCTACTATCCGCCATATCTCGTGTGTGTGACATCCACCCTGTGGGGCAATGAGTGAATGTGGCATGGGAAACCCGCATGTGGCACCGGGGCCGCCGGGGCCTTGATTTGGGTCTGAGCGCATGGACACCCGTGGCTGCCCGGCGATGCGGCGAAGGTCGATGACAACATCGTCGTAGGTTCAAGGGTAGTTCCCGTAAGTTCAAAACGATGGTCTCTACTCTACTATACCAGCTCTAAAGCGGCAAAGAGTGCGTAGATACCTGAACACTATGATAGGTTGACCTTCCTGATAGTCCATGCTGTTGATTTTGGGAGGTTGACAAAGCAGTTTCAGCAAAAGTTTGAACGCGTTATAGGCATCAGGCATCCGTGTAGTTTCAGATTGACCTCACTGGCGTGTGGGGCATGTTTTTACTCACATCTCTTATTTGCTACATGCCCAACCTGGCATGAAACTCGAAGGGCTGTCGAGTCGGCTGCGTCGGATTGAAGCAAGTTGTTTGAGGGAGGTGTTTGACGAGTGGGGGGTTTGACTGGCGGCGCTCATCTGGCGCATCTTGTCCTCTGCAGGACCAAGCCACGGTCAGTGCTTTGCTGGGAAAGCAGCCGAGTTGGGCAGACTTGTTGTCAGGTGCAGGGTTTGTGCTCAGTCCAGAAAACTAGAACCTTATAGCTAGGACAGGTGCCTTTTGCTGCCCCGCGGCACTTTAGGATTGAAAAGGAATCTAGGTTGGGCCACTGGGCCCTGTCCAAAAGCGGCAACGCATGCAGAATTGGTCCTACAGCCCACTCTCCAAATGCCTTGTGGATTGGCAAGTGATTGGCAGTTTCACCATTTGTTCTTAAGGGAAATCACCAGGAAAACTCCTGTTCTTCTTGAAATCCTTGAGTGCCACTGTGCGTTTGAGCCAATTTGTGACACATCTGAATCAGAATTGACAAAATGGAGAATCAACATGAATGACGTATTGCCATCAAACAAAAAACTGTTCGCACAGTTGTTCAGAAACCGTGCAGCCACAACGGGATACCCGGATAGACAGGCCTGCAGCGCGGTGCTCGGTGCCTTACGGGGCCGCACAAGAGGCGCTGGATCGTTTGGGTTGGCACCGGATCGCAGCTATTGCACCCGAACCCTCTCAGCAGAGACGGTTTCGTTGGATGATCGACAGCAATCTGCGACCTCCGTCGTTGACAAGACCAAAGAGTCCATTCACTCGGGACCACTCAAGTTGGTGGGACGCATCATGACGCAGAGAAACATGTACAGTATTAAATCAAGCATCAAGTTGGGGATTATGAACTTTCAGCATGATGTGAAACGGAACCTGTGAAACTTTCATGAGACAGGATGAAAATACTTTGCATCACAGATGCAACGCACGAGGCACCATGTCCCAGTCTGATTCCAACAGCCTTGGCGCAGGTCAGATCGCATGAAGATCAGGACCTGGCTCAGCCGCACAACTGGGGGTGTTGAGTTGTGGTCGTAGCTTTCCCCCTGCAAAAGCTCAAAGTTGAACATGTTATAGATTGGCGTTATTTTCAGATTGCAAGCTAATCCTTAGGATTGAACATTCCTTGGGTGAGGGATTGAACTGTCAAGGAGTTGAGAAGGAGTCACAGCATTTTTTGACCTGGCTGTGATGTCTTCTTGCGCCTTCTGTGAATTGGACCCGAGGACACGGAGGCCGTACACCTCGGACGTCGGTCTCAAGCCGGGTTGGGGCGTGCGAAAGAGGCAGCTGAACACTGGAAGTGAAAGACGTGGCCGAGTTGGTGTCATTGTTGAAAGGGCCCTTCCTAGATGCAAGCGTTTTGACATCTGAAAGGGACGCAGCTGTTTGGGGATTAAACATGGAAAGCTCCTTCAAAGGCAGGTGGCACATGTGCCAGGACAAGTTTAAATAGGTCCTGATGTTGATATTATTGCATCCCAGATGTCTAGATCTTTTTTTGGATCGGAGCAGTACCTTCACTTGCTTTTTGTTGAAGCGCGGCAATATCGACCCCGAGCGTTTGGAATTTGGAGCGTTTCACTCACCTGAACCTCTGAGCATGTTCAACCACAAATATGTTCATTTCGACACGTAGAAGAGCTTGACCGAGCTCATGTTCATTCATTTTCCACAATAGCAGCAGGAACATTGTCGTACGAATATCGAAAGGAACCCAGCCCGGCTGGCATCCTTTGTGGCGATAGCTTTTTGAATTGAGGTGCAATAACCCGGAATGTGTGCCCAAAATGAGGAGGTTTTTTTCCTCAAAAGGTGACACGAGCGATGACTAACCAAAACAGACTTGATGAGCCTTTACTTTACTGGTTGATTTGCGAATATCTAGTCACTTTTAGTCCATGACACTATGAACAGGTCTATTCGTGCAAAAGGACACTCTTGCTCTTGCTTTCTTTGCAACTGCAACACCTTGCGACTGCTGTCGTTTCTTCTTATCGTACTGAGTATAGCCCTGTTGCTGTCGTTTTTTTCCATAGCTTATGACTAAGAGGACCTTTCTTCAAGTGATGTAGACCCGACACGACACGTACACATGCAAACTTGACTGGGCACATCACGGGACATGGCCCAAGACGGGCCAGGAAGGATCCGATGCCCCGACGACTAGTCGCCTCGAATCTCTTTGACCTTGTTGCAACGAGAAAATGCTCAGTATCGACCAGGCCCAAATTGTTGATACTCCACTGGTCCTGGTAGCAACTCAATTCTGTTGCCTTGCTGATTCCACAAAGATTTCTCAAGATGTTCCAAGTCCTCGTAGACGTCTTGTATGACATCACTGTTTCACTGCAGGAAGCAACCAATTCTTTGCTGTTGGTTCATCGTTCTCAGAAGCCCCTTTCTTGACCTCTCCACTTCCCCAAAAGGCGACATTGGACATATCATCTCCACCCTTAATAGCAATGGCCTCCACCCTTACTAGCAATGGCCTCCACCCTTACTAGCAATGGCCTCCTACCTATGTCAACTTGTTCCTAGTAGCGTCCTTGCTCCTAGTAGCGATGCCAGGAGCCCCTAGTAGCGTCCTTGCTCCTAGTAGTAAGGCCAGGAGCCCCTAGTAGCGAACCTTGTTACTGTGGAGCGACTCCGGGGAGTTTTCTTAATGATTGTATACAGATGGCTCGCCGTGGCTGGCCGATCGCCGCCTCCCGGCCGCTCGTTCGGTGCGCAGAAGAGACCGCCATCCGTCTCGGCGAAAGTTTGAAGCCAGACGTCTTGGGCGGTGACGGCGGACACTTGCAGGGGAAGACGACGGAAGTGGCGTTCGAAGCTCGATATGTTGTGTTCTTGCACCAAGCGCGCATATCCATTCCTTGTGCAAAGGACGGAAGGTTGTGGGTGAGAAGAGAGACAATTGTAAACAAATTGATGTCCGCATTGTCAGCATCGTTTGCAACTAAATTTGAAGATACTTTTGTAGCGAGAAGCCTAAAGAAATGAAGGTTGGGGAATGAAGCGAAACCACAGATTGGCATCACACGCTTTAGATCTATAAACATTCACACAACACATTGTGTCATATTTGTGATCTTGGTTTTACAGTATTCTTGGTCCGTTGGAGGTCATCGCTACTAGGTTTGAGGCCATCGATAGTAGGTTGGTTCTCAGCCCCTGCAAGGATACTAGGTAGGCAGGCCATTGCGTGCCATACTTGAAGAGGATTCAGGACGTCTCGGATGATCCAGACTGGCGAACCTCCAAAGACATCAAAGCAAAATTGGTAGCTTTGCCGCATGCCAGCTTGTTTATGGTTTCCTACAATTCCTGGGATTCTTATGGATAACTTTACATTTGAACTGAATGGATATGACTCGTTCTATGTTTCGAAGCTCCTGGACTCTTAAGGAAAAGGCAAATTCCTCAAGCAGCTTTCACAGAAAACAACATCATTCGACCGGACAAGTTCTGAAGCTGGTGACTTTGCAAAGGAGGACCAACGAAACAATCAAACGAAGCGAGGGATCACCGAGGTGCTCCGTTGCATGAGAGCTTGAGAGCCTTGGCGGATTCTCAAGCCGTTCCGTGCCGCCTGGGGCACTTGAAAGAACAGGTCAAACGGGAAAAGAACAGGAAGGCATCGCTACTAGGAGCGTTCGGACGCTACTAGGAACAAGTGCATCGCTTCTAGTAACAAGTGCCTTACTAGTAGTAACAAGAAGCTACTAGGGGCTCCTGGCCTTACTACTAGGAGCGTTCGGACGCTACGAACGGGGCTCCGAACAAGGACGCTACTATTGGAATGACAGATGTGCCATACAACGTGGTTGTATGTGGTCGTGAGAGCTGTGATAGCAGCGACAGGATGGATCACACGATGGATAGGCACCGCATGGAAAGAAGGCATCAATGGCATCAAATCTAAAATATCCTCATGGAGTTCTCACTGAACCACCCCTACTGGACCTGAAGTAGCTCAAGGCGTCTTCACATGTTTGGGAGATGGACAGAAGCACTTCTGGCGCCCAAAGCTCTCGCTCGAAGATCGACAATTCCAAACCTGAATGGAATCGTTCGCTTCACTATGCTTCGCTCTTCTCGTGAGAACTCCGGGCTGAATGAACCCCATTATATATATATATATATAAGTCTTCCTTTTTTTTCTTTGTCTCTAATGGCAGCCTCCAACCTAATAGCGATGGGCTCCAACCTAATAGCTTCATGGACCCAGAGCTTTCCTTAGATGAAAGTCTCAGTGGCTGGGAACCCCGCACGAAGTGAAGACGAATGGAGCAGAAAACCAAAAAAACAAAGCAGAGCACACCTTCATCGAAACGAAGTGCCTCATGTACAGCCTTGGCGACCGATGTGCATACAAATTGCACACAGGATTGGTGGATCCATAGGGGTGGAGCCACTTGAGAGGGTACCCGCAGAACCATGAACCGACCCGTACCGGAAGAGCGAGGGGCGTTTTCCCTGTCGCCCAACGAGTCAGTGAAACGCGGCTACTCTTTGCTCTGCGAAAAGCTGCGGGCAAAGAGTCATACATCGACCGCCGTAAGCCACAGATGTGGGGTATCCCATGTCAATGTATCTTCTTTGTGTTGAGAGACTGGAGAAACCACGAGAAATGCATGTTGACTCTGGATTTTGGGTGGACAAAACATAATGAGACCATGCAAACCACAAACTCAGGTCTGTTTGGGGCATGATGCATTGCTTGAAATGATAGGCAACTCTTTCGTTGTTTTTTTGTGTCCTTCTTTCCAATCATCGCAGGTTTTGGGTGTTGAGTCTGATTTCCCGCACAACATCATGCCCACAGAAATTGGTACTTACAGTGAGTCAGTCACATCACCGGATTTGCAGCTCCCATCACTCCCTGAAACCCCAGAGTCCAGATCGGTGCACAGGGGGCCCTCCAAGTGGTGCGCTTCCATGGCAGCGACCGTCGCTGATTTGTTATGTCACGCCCAGAAAGCGCTGGACACCAACAGCAATAGAGAAAGACTTCATAATATGAGATGAGATTTGCGGTTTGGGGGTTGGGAAACTTACCATGAGACGATTCTTTGAAAGATGTTTGAAGCAGTTAGCTGCTTTTGTTTACAATATTTGTATAACATGATACATCTTCACCACCTGTTGGAAGTCCTTGGGCTCCTCGAAGCAACCATGCTCGTCCCACGAGCTCCGGACTCCGGGTGTGACGCACCGATGCCTCTGCGGCTGTGCCGATGTCTCTGGCTGCTGTGTCGAGTCGAGCACCGGTGGCTTTCTCGTTCCGGTGGCTTTCGCTTTGTCAAAGTTTAGGTCAGTTTTATCTCAGATATAGTGTTTGCTTGTTCCTTATTCAATATGACAAATCTTACACTCAATAGATCTCAATACATCTCAATGGCATTCAATTTCATGCCCCCCCACCTGTTGGCATTGGCAGGTATCAGAGTGTTTTGCATGAAGGGTTGTAGGTCTGCGAACTGGACTTTGACATCTTGGATCTCTCTTTTTGTCCAACTACAAAAAGACCCCAACTACATCATCTACGTGCTGTTGCGCTTGATTCCTTTTAACAATTCGGAGTTGGACCATGAGTCATCTGGGGTTTTCTCGAAGGTACGCGACGTTCTAGTGAGGTCCAGTCAACACGGGAACAACATCAGGGACTTTGAGGTGCATGCTCCACATCGTTCACGTTCTGTCATCGACTCCCCAAAAACCACATCCACGCCGACTGCGACCACCAGTGGCAGTTCATCACCGCCGCGAGCAAAATAATGCGGAAGTGCTTTCGATGGGGCAAGGTTGTTGGCAGTGGTACCAGCTTGGGTTAATTATGGTTAATTTGGTTTCTGGTCAATGGAAGAAGGGTTTCAAATTGGAATTTGGTTGATTCTGTGTTTCTCGGCCAGCCCATGCCACTGAGCACAGCCATGTCAGACTACCTCTTATGGGCTGTGCACTCTTGCACAGATTCAATCCACTTTTTTGTGACTTCTTCTTGTTTATCATACTTTAAACTACTGAACTACTGTGCCTACTTTGCATCAAGGTATTCCATATCAGAAGATGTGGCATATGAAAGACCAGTGGAGCTCAAACTTCGACATGTTTGACCAATTCAATTCCATTGGGTTTGAACACGTTCTGAGTTTCTTGAAGGCATTCCTCCATGGCATCCTCAGAGGTACTCACAAAGTTCTATATCCACCCCCAGCGACCTCGGCCATCTGTGGCAGGAAGCAACTGGATGGGACCTCTGCTCAGATGGAGAAGTCACACTGGCTGGACCTTGCTGAAGAGACGATGTTCTCCAACCTTATAGCTGTGGCCTCCACCCTAGTAGCGATGGCCTCCATGTTGGGATGTGGGTTTGGAGTTGAGAATCAGTGGAACTCTCAAACGAAATAGGTGGCCCAGATAAGCATCCGGACCAAACCGGTACAAAGAAGGACATCTTGAATCTTGAAAGTTGATTCATTTCAACACGAGGCTACCCACCCTGAAGTGAGCACATATTTGTTTTTCAGACCAAAGACTGACTTCGTGGCACGCCTTGGCAGTTTCTGTGAAGGGACTGGAAGCTGCAGTCTTTCTTCTGGTTGACTATGAGCACGGAAAGGCATCGGCAAGCAGGCAGAACAAAGGACATTCGAGTGAGGGAAACACATATCTCAGACAGATGAAGTCGCTCCCTCCAAGCAGGTCCCAAGGAGTATATAGATGGTAGAGTCCACAGATCACAGATATAGCACATGTGGCGGCTTTCGTTGAGTCTTGCAACAAGGACCTTGCGTGAACTGAGTAGGACCTTGGACCTCACCACTTTCATCACCAGGTGATGTCCACGGCGTCAACACACTGTTGAAGCGAACACCGCCACGATAAGCGGCCGCGGGGCAGCGACAGCGGGGCGTTACCGTCCGCCATGGGCCACGGTCTTGGGTGCGACAGCGCGGTGCTGCGGGGCGGCCAGGCAGCGAAGGATGCGAGGCGGGGGTTGGGCGGATGAAGGATGAAGCGGGTCCATTTGAACCCCAAGGACCTGCCGGAGAAATGCCATCTTGTGATTTCAGGTGTCACGATTCTTTGAATAGCTGGTGAGCTAGTCACCGACTAAGCCACAGGTGGACCATGGTGGGTCTTCTTTGTTGGACAAGACGGTCCTGTGTAATCCTCTCAAGGTTCAAGAATTTGCACACTGCAAAACGGGTGCTCAAGGTATTCCAGATACGGAGATGTTTATCCTGGAATTACCTTCACTAACTTAAACCTATACAGACTACAGGCCTGTTTTTCTGCTCTTCCTTCCCGAATGTCCTGTCATCACAGGTCTGCACCAGCTGCTGACTGCACTGAGCACGGGGACGGGGCCTGAGATAGTGTTGAAGTGGACCTTCACACCCCCATGAGGACGGGATATTTTGGAAGTGGAAGTGTGACGTCATTCCATGTGTGGATAAGTATTTCGTGTCGAAACCAAGAAGCAACACTCACAATGTCCCAAGACTGATGAACACCATGAACAAATTAGATAGGTCCCGAGTCAGACATAGCCGATATGACAGGATTTCCCCGAAGATCTTGAAACAAATTCAGTTGGCAAAGGATCTTGAATTCAAGGAGTGCAGATCCACCGGATATTACCCACTTGGATGTCTTTCGCTCCGTTGGCTGGATTTCCGAGGCGAGTGGCTGGCGATCTCATCGTGCCCGGGAGCAGAGCCGGATGCTGGGATCATCGATTTTCCTACGAGAGGTGCAGATCCGATGCGAGAGGAGGCCACCTTTTGACCTCCTTGCTCCGTTCGTAGCGATGCCCTTTGTTACTAGTAGCAAGAATGCTCCTGGTAGCGATGCCCTTTGCTCCTAGTAGCGTCCTTGCTCTTGGTAGCGATGCTATTAGCGATGCAATCTTTGTGGATCCTTGACCTTTTGGACGTCTTGGGCTCTTTTTGTCGATTCTGCAAGCAAGTCCTGCACAGATTTGTCCTCAGTCAACCGCCGTCTTCGCGCCGCTAGGTGTTGCCTGAAGGATGATCTTCCAAACTGCTTTGATGAAGATGCCTCACTTACCAAGGAGAGGAAAACAAACAATGCATGCGGTTCGCACCTCCACCGAGTCATTGGTATAGAGTACGCCAGGGCACAAAACGAGATCAAGTCAGGGTGTTGTTCAAACCTTCAATGTATATTTATGTTGGGTTGGTATTGTTACTAGTAGCTTCTTGCAACTAGTAGTAATGCCCTTGTTACTAGTAGCGATGCCCTTGCTACTACAAGCGGCTCAAACCTGTTGCGTTGATGCCATGCTTCGGCCCCCGGAAGTCTGAAAAAAAGGGAGCGAAGATTCGAGGTGAGGGAGACCAGTTAGCATTTCCGAGGCCTGGACATAGGGGTGCAGTTTTTATCCGTTTTATTTGTTGGTTTTTGCGACCGGTGCGAGTACTCACTTGCAGCAGTGGGAAGAATTCTATCCTAAATGTCCTCAACCTGGACAGATCTTTCGACATGTTCTGACATGGCTGGGATTCTTCCGAATCTCCGCAGCCCACAATCCATGTCCCCAGCTCACCGCCTGAACGTCGCGTCGTCAGAAAAGGACGTTTGCTGCTCGGCCTTCGTGGAAGTGGCGCTGCAAAGCGAGGACACCGAAGGCGCGCTGCGTCTCAGCTATGTGCTCATGTCAGAAAAATGAAAATGTTTTTTTTTTATACTTCCTATTATAAGCATAGGCGGTAGTGATGGCAGAGTGGCAGGCGGCAGCAGCAGCAGCAGCAGTAGTAGCTGGACTCCGAATGCATTACGGATAATGCATGACAATGCAATATGCACCCACACTGGCATGTGATCATGTGGCTCAAACTCCCTTTTGTTCGCTCCCTGTCGCGCAAAAGACTTCGCTCTTCGACGTGTCTCGCCGCCGCAGATGTGGCGACCCGCTTCCCGCGCTACAGCACCGTGGACTTGGCGCCCGACACGCCGGAAAGACTGCGGCGTTGCCGCTCGTCGACGCGGCGGGAGACGGAAGAGATGTTGGAGACATGTAGTTGATATGGTTTTCAAGGTTGATATGGTGGATGTGGATGTGGAAATTCGGATGTCAAACTGAACTGGAGTCTTCGATTCTCTCCAACGTTTGCATGGTTTGGTTGCCAAGCGCCAGATCGAGATTCCAGAGAGGACTACCAGTAGAGAGGTGTTGAATAACTGTTACAAAAAAGTTTTGTAAAGAGTAGAGATTGATATGATTTACGGCAAAGAAAAGGCTGGGAAGCCTTTTTCGTTCAGCTTTCGCACTGGCCTGGCGCGAGATGAGGCATGGAAAGTCCATATGAGACACCCTGGGCGGAGGAGCAACCCGCGGACTATCTTTGTACGAACAACTTTATCCAAGCAACAGCCTGTGTGGCTGGAGCCTGGGCATGAAGAGATGAGCAAACGGCTTTACCACAGGAGCCATAGGAATCATTATCTAACATAAAGATCTAGCAACCTTCCCAGCAAAGAAACTTCCTTACGAAACGGAATGAATCAACGGGTCCTGTGCGAGGTTGATGACATTCCTTTTCAATAGTCTTTTCAATCTATTTCAACCAGATCAAGTTATGAGGTGCGGACCAGGAAAGAAATGGTGGAGCTTTGAGAAGAACTATTATTAACTAGTTCTCTGGTGGACCTTTGTGCAAGCGAACCTTGCGTGTGGAGTCCGGGTATGTTGTGTACATCCATGTTGTGACCCTTGCCCTGGCTGGGGGAGATGGACGGCCTAGTAGTAACTAAGGCCAGGAGCCCCGTTCGTAGCGTCCGAACGCTCCTAGTAGCGATGCCCTTTGCTCCTAGTAGCGTCCTTGCTCCTAGTAGTGAGGCCAGGAGCCCCGTTCGTAGCGTCCTTGCTCCTAGTAAAGGAACATAATTAGCCCAAATTCATCCCCCATATCTTGCGCCGATGACATACGATCCTCGTGTGCAGTTGAGGGACTGGCTTTTTGTACGGACCCACCGATCCCTTTCATTTTTTTCAGTGCCGATGACTGAGGACTGCCTGATGTGCAGGTGATTTTCGATATCTTCTTGGGAGGCGTCCATCTTTCCTTCAGCCGAGCGAATTCCTTGAGAAGCATTCATGTTTCTGTGGCAGTCACCCTCAACTATGTTAGCCTAGAAACTTTGGTGCTATAACCTAAGGAGCACACACACACATCAAGAGTCCCATTTTCACACATCAAGAGTCCCATTTTCCAGCTTCGTGTGCTCGTCCAGGGAAGAATTGAATTCACTTAGATTGTCTGGAACAGACAGCAGGTCCAAATACTGTTGACCTTAGAATTTTTCAGGCATTGAAAATCAGGCTTTTGCAACACAGTTTGTATTGACCGCTTTGTGTTCAAATGTTTTGGCAACTCACATTTAGTGTTGAACAAGTTGACCATTTCATTGATTCGGACAAATACGTAGTTGAATCATGTTGAATCTGTATGATGATCTTGCTCGGTGCTATGCAAACCAAACTTCCACTGCTTTGGCCCCGGTGTTTTCACCGAACCCACCGCCGACGCGGGGCGACACAGCGCTCAGCAGGTGGGTGCACCAGCATGGCGGCGGCCCATGGCTCGGCGGGGAAGGTGCTTCCGGCGGAGGCGGGAAGGTGCTTCCGGCGGGAAGGGAACGGCGCTGCTTTTTGTAAAGGAAAACAACATGCCGAAAGGAAGTAAGGATAAGAAAGGTCTAAAATGACACGACATCATTGACAGACAGGGAATTAGCTATGAACAGTTCGGCCAAAACCAGCACAAACCTCTAACTAGTCATCCGACTATATACGATGTTTAGTGTTACGATGATCAAGTGTTTGGCAGCGGGGAGTTAAGTCCGGGAGGGATGAACTGCATCGGTGAAGCTAGGTGACACTGGATTCGACCAGTCGTTCTTTTCTTGGTGTTTGTGGGAATCACTGGAGTTTCCCCATGTGAGCTTTGGTGGTCTCTGAAAATTCACCTCGAATTTATTTGTTCATGAAACCTGGGAAGCCTCTCTCCGCACAACCAACCAGTTTTTCTTGTACCAAGGGAAGCTATTTATCAGTAATAAAAAAAAAGCTGAGGCGACTGGGGATTTCATCATGAGCTTGTGGAACAGAAGACGCATTGACGGATCAACTGCAGTGGGATGAGAAGCGTGAACTCACGGATCCGCAGGTGTTCTCCTTCGACCTCCCAGAGAAGCTGGCCAAGTCCTTGGCACCAACGGGACGCCTCGCACAAGGAACGGGTGCTGTGGGATGGGAAGGGCGGAGATCCGCACGTGGCTGTGTGGTTGTCATGTAATCAGCCATGTGGCAGTTGAGCTTGACCGGCACGGACAATGGTTGCCTTTGACCATCGGTAAGACATGTTTGAGAATGTACCTTCACATCCAACCCAACTGTAACTAAACAACGACTATATAAACAACTCAACCACCAAAATCACCCATCTCACTCATGTAATGTTTTTGCTTCCTCAATAACGCGCCACCTTTGCCGATGTTCTTTTTAGGTGATGGGACTTGGTGGGACATCACGGTGGTGAACGAGACGCCGCCTCAGCCCAAGCTCCAGGAGGTCTTACTGAGGCCACACCCGAAAAAAACACGGGGATTGTCAAGCCTTCCCTTTGAGTATCTTTGGGGGTTGCGAGGTGGATGGGTGTGGACCTGAAACTTGAAGCTGTGAATGCAAAGCTGACTGATTCGTTCTCCCCTCCGATCCATCGATATCCACCGCCCTTTTGGGGGCGAAGGCCGGGTGCTGGTCGCATGCCGCGCCTGGTGCTGGTGGCGGACTATTTGGAAGTGGTGGCAACAGCCTCCTGGAACACCTTGGATGCGCCAAGCTAAGAGATCTCAAAGGATGAAGAACTTTGAATCCGGGATTGAAGAGATTTTGACTGGATGTCTTAGATCTTTGGTTTGGCTAAACCAGCAAGGTTTCTTCTCATGGAAATGCCCAGAACTGGTCCGGAGCTGGCCAAACGCATCAGGTGCTGTGTCAACACCGTCAATCGTTGGATTTCGTGGTAGTGGACTCCAGCGCGAATGTGCTCTTCGAAACTTGGAGTGCATTGTCCACTCCCAACTTGCTAACCCCTAGCTACTAGGAACAAGTGCATCGCTTCTAGTAACAAGTGCCTTACTAGTAGTAACAAGAAGCTATTAGAAACACTGGGCGCCATCCGAGGTCATCCATATTTGATCCCACCGCACAGGATCTCCATGTCGAACAGCCCAACCATGTCTAACAAGTCCCTGTCAGACATGATAAGTTTTTTTTCATGCCAAGGAAAAGGAATGGCTGATCATTGAAACGCTCTGCCGGCCGAAGCGCGTGCTGCTGACGAATTTGAATCTCCCGAGTGCCACGGCGAGGATAGACGGAAGACGGAAGAGCCCGAAGAGTAGCCGCTGATCGAAGATCCTAAGCGGCCAATTACGGGGTCCTCATGGAGATCTCAGACACGAAGATTCTGGGTTTCGCTCGAGCCAGGGAGGTCGCTTCATTCATGTTTCGCAAACAAGAGATCCTTCAGTTGTGGATCTCGCCCGCCTGGCTGGGCCTGGTTCACTTCCTCATCCCTATAAGGGGTCGGACCCATAAGGTATGGTGAAGGATATGAGTAGGTCTTTCTGTTTTGACTTCAGTTTCGATCCGAAAAAAATTTACCAGGCCACACCCGATTTCAGCTCCACTGACCAAGATGCTTGAAGCAATGTGAACCATCCATTTGAGGTGCCTCTTCGTGGATTTGGCATCGCCTAACACGCCTGAATTGGCAGGAGGTGGGGAACGAAGGACCGGAAAGTCACTTGGAAAACGTTGGTCACTGCATATTGATCATATCAGACCAAGTTGATGAAACTTGCCTAAGTAAAAGCAGGAAAACTACAATTCATCACTTGCTTACTCATCACTACAAATTGTGATGCAGATCATGTGGGGTCACTACTTGCTGGATGGAGACGTTTGGCCGCCTCACTCCGAGATGCGGCGCCTGCGGAGCTGGAGCTTGTCGCTTCGGCGTTGACGTCGAGATCCCGTGGAAGGGCGCCAAAGGAAAAGGATGACTTCCATGGAAAACTCGAAGACAAAGATGTCAAGCATTGCTTACATATCATGTTTGTTCAACTCTTCAACCCCTTGAGCAACCAGGCGCTTGAAAAGGCTTCTATTTGCCAATAACATCCAATAACTCCTACCGTGGCGTCTGTTTTGAAGCCAAACCAAACTCTGCAGCGGGTAACTGAGGTTGTCCCCACCGCGCTGAGACCGGAGCCTGCGCAGATCGAGGAGATCAGTTGCGCTGAACGTGCTGAGATCGGAGGCGACCGACGCGGTGTCACCGAGACCGGAGGCGCACGGAAGGCATCGACTCGTGGGATTGAAGAGACGAGATGGTCAAGAGACTTAGAGAGACAAATGGGCGGAGAAGACATCTCTGAGTTGAAAAAGACAGATTCACATCATGCACAGATTCACAGGTTATGTTTTTTTTTTTTTAAATCCATTGTTTTCCATGTTTTTCCTGCATGAAGAGGAGATCGTTAGCTGAGCCTTTTGGGTTGTAATTGTCATTCCTAGGATGGGATGATCAATTGGTGAAATGAATCATGACCCAAAAATCAACATAGAAGATATAGAAGTCACTTCCATGAAGGGCAAGATGGGATGCAACAGAATGCAAGCGGAAAAAAAAAGCACACACACAAAATACATATATTTCTTCAACCATCCCCCATTCGTGGTGAAGCATCGGAAACTCAGGACTACGTGAACTGCTGGGCTGGTTGGGCTGTGCACTCGCCTGGGCTGTGCACTCGCCCACTTCCAAATTCCGGCGGTGCAACAAAAAAATGCAGAACTGCCGTACTCGCAACAAAACTCGAACCTCGTCACAGCGTTGCATGGCGCTTCTTGACAGGATAGAATGAGGAATTAAAATCAGTTGAAGATGACTCATCACTCACAACCAGCATCCGATGTGAAATCCACCAAAAACAAACAAACACCGTTCATTAAAGCACCAACAGATAGACCCAACCAACCAGATAGATGCCTTTGCCAGGCTCATCTTTGGCGCTGACGATGCCGCTGCCTCCGAGTGCGCGAGACGCCGTCCGGAAGCGAAGCGCGCAGCGCTAAGCGATGGGCGCCTCTCGTGCGGGTGGATGGTTTTCCCGAATCAAGCTGGAGATATGTGGCTAAAAGACATGGCTCCTTTTTTAGTGGCTCATTTATGTATATTCATTTATTGATTCATTTACCACCGAATTTTGCTTGTCACATGGCATCTTCGTGAAATAGCCTGAATCAGCCCATTCTCCATATAACTCCCACCTCACTCAGCTTCCGCCGTTGGTTGAGGTACCTCAAGGACCTCATCAGCAGTGCTGGGCTCAAAGACGCCTGGGCAGAGCACGGACGCCCAGACGCGGATCAGCTCCGATACGGAGCGGGGGCAGAGAGACGTGTTTTGCGGTGCCAAAGCAGGACTGAATTCGTTGAGTTTGGGATGCTCAACAGTCTTGTTCCTATAGTAGCTTCTTGCTCCTAGCAGTAAGGCCAGGAGCCCCGTTCGTAGCGTCCGAACGCTCCTAGTCGCGATACCAGGAGCCCTTAGTAGCGTCCTTGCTCCTAGTAGCTTGGGATGTTCAACAGTCTGTCAAGTGGGTGAAATGCCCTTCGAGCTTGCAACACCCCACGCAGCGATGGGTGAATCGTCCGCACAGGATGGCGAAGAAGTTCAAATCCGTTCAGACGCAGCATGTGTGGAGCCACAGCGGCCTGTGGTGAGTTATGGCGATTCCTGCGGTGTGTTGCGGATGACAAGTTGTCACTTCACAGATCATTTGATGCTTTCAAGCGTGGTCAAGTTGGCCTTTGCGGAATTGTGACGAAGCCTTCCCCAGAAGCATCAGAAGCTGCCATACGCCTTCAAATCGACACCCTCCAAGAATCAATCACAATTGGAAGCTGGAAGCGTTTTCATGTTCTTCCTTCACCGAGCCCATATTTTTCTTGAGTCAACCGCCTTGAGTCGCGCTTCCTTTCTCTCCGTACTCCAAGGCCCACTTGATGTCCTTGGCCAGTCGAGAGGCCCCGATCCCTTCGAACGGCGTGGATGAACGGCGATGGGGTGGGCTTTGGTGAGCCGTCGGACGAAACACACACATGCTGACAAGCACGAGAGGGAATACGAAGGACTTCGCAGTGGGCTTTGCCTAGAGGCCTATAGGTTGGATTCCAAAAGGTGCGGCACAGAATGTGAATCGTTAAAGGCACTTGACGACTCAGATGCTTGCAAGTGTATGTAAGCGTCATCAAGAACACAGATCTTCTTTGTTTTGCACGAGCCTTTACGAGCCTTTGCATCAGAGTACAACTTTTGCCAAAACAGCAAGGTCCACACCTGACGCATGTTAGAAACACCATCAATCGCTCCGAATCGACCTCTATGTCCGGTTGCTCCGGATGAAGCGGGGATCGCTTCACTTCATATATATTGTTTCTACTAGCGTTCTTGCTCCTAGCAGTATGGCCAGGAGCCCCTAGTAGCGTCCTTGTTCCTTTAGCAGTAAGGCCAGGAGCCCCTGGTAGTGTCCTTTGCTCCTAGTAGCGATGCCCTTTGCTACTAGTAGCGATGCCCTTGTTTCTACCCCTCCCAGAAGTCTCGCCAGGGCTTGGACCGGGACTACGTGACGCGTCCCGAATTCCGGGTGCCATGCGCGTTATCCGCCCGGGTGGGTGGAGCAGTGGAGTGTCGGTGTTCGTTTTTGGGAATGGGAGGAAGTCGAAGTTACATGTTATGTTTGTTGCAATACAGACATTTTGACATGAGTGTTTGAGCGAAAAAAAAGAGACTGAAGTTGCATGAAGTTACAAGGCTCCATTGTTGATGTCGAATTGTTGAAACCTCCAGGGTGGTAGCTACCTTGGCGCGCTTCACATAAAGCCACACATTTCCTAAGATCATTTTGTGCCCTTGGTACGCACCCTGACCTAGAAGAAATCGCTGGCTCTTCCATTCACTGCAGGCGATTGTGCAGGAGGAGTACAAAAGAGTCCTCCAAGACCACTCGAAGCGCCTGACCGACGTGGAAGCACAGGCGCCGGACGTGCCGCGACGCGCGTTCTCCAGGGGTTCGGCCGCCAACTTCTTTGCCGCACCCAACAGTGATGGATGGCTTCGGTCCATAGGGAAATTGGGAAACAACAGAGGGGAGACTCTATAAACACCTAGTAAGTGCATGTAAGTGCATCGCTACTAGTAACGTTACTAGTAGCAAGTGCATTACTAGTAACCAGAAGCTACAAGTAATTGAAAAGTGCATAGGAGAGACTAGACGCCTTTTGCCTCCGAGTTTTGAGTTTGACCACAAGAAGGTGTAACTCTAGTGGCGGCTTGATGCGGACTGAAATTGTGACCAGTGACCGGTGTCCCTTTGACACTTTGACGTCCAAGCAGTAGGGTTCAGCTGGCAGAACGAGTGCTTTGCGTTGGTGCACAGGTGCAGGAGGAGAAGCAGGCCAGTCGTGTGTGTTTGTGGATTTATAGGATTGCAATTTGAGTCTGTCTCTGTCAGCAGCTGTGCATTATTAAGGAACGATTGATATCAATAGGCAGTTTGATGAATTTGATCGTCTATGTCAAGATGCGTGTGGCAAAAGGACACCACACCACCTTCAGCCCGGCAGGCACGCTTGAAGCTACAGCAGGTCGTCGTCAAGCTGGCTGTGCCTGGGCTTTCATGCGTTAGTTCGTCAGCCCGTGGTGGTTCAGACAGCTTCGTGGAAACTTTTCACAAGTGGCTCGAGGCCTAATTAGAAGACCCCTGGATCATGCTGGATCGGCGTGTTTGTGAACCTGGATCATGATTTTGGGACTAAGAAAGCAAATCCAAGAAGGTGGAGACGTCTTTGTTTCTTGTTGGCAGAAGGCCGAGTAGCTGATTACCGGCATTTATGTTAATGGACCGAAAAGGGTCAGTTACATTATATGAGCGATCAAGCACCTTTACATGTTGGTCATCGATGTTCCCTTCTTCACATGTGTTTTCTTCCCAAAACTAGACTGAGTCGTGAGCACTACTGAGCGCTGCGTACTTTCTTGTTGGAAGAACAGGTCTGAGACTGTATCTTGAAACGCACCTGAACAGCAAACCTGCTATGAAGCACGGTTTCCATAGGTGATTAAAGCCCCTTCCCTCAGACGATCCCGCAGCAGATATTCTCCTGATGCAATGCTTTCTTACGAAAAACAGATCCAGACTCTACCTGACCCTGACATGCACTGCTAAGACGTTCAAATTGCGCACATGTTAGAGTCCAACAGAATTGCGCTTAGATGCGCTTAGAAAAAGATCTCCATTTTTGACAACCCTCAGCTGTTGAAAACCGCCGCAACGACCGGTGCGCGACGTTTGGACGTCCCGTGGCGTCGTCAGGGCCATGTGGAGGAAGAGCTCAATGAGTTGAAGCCCCAAGTGACCGACGCTCACGAGTGGCTGAAGAGTTCCTTGGAGACATTTGGGTGGCACCTAGTAGCGTCCTTGCTCCTAGCACATATAACTATAGATAGCATCATTGTTGTTATAGGAGTTGGCAGGGTGTAGCATGTTTGGATGTGTTGAGAGCTTCTTGGATTTATCGACCCACCTATATATACATTTGTTTATATATGCAATACGACCACCTTCTGCGCCGCCCTGATATATCATTGACTATCATTGAGATTCAAATCGTTGTGGGAATTTCAACGTTACTCCTAAATTAAGAAATCAATGGGTTTCTTGTCACCAGTTTTTTTCCAGGCAAGAACAGGTACATCCACAAACCGTCCCCCCAAACCAGGATTGGTCGGTAGGGGTTCGAAAGGCTTGGATGAGCGGTGCGAAGAAGAGCATGAAGAGGTCCTCAAGGCGATTGTTGCTGAAAGGTGGAACATGGTGGAATGCAAAGGTGGCAGAGAGATCAGAGAGGGCCAATTGCCTCACCAAGCTAACTTTCATTGTTGCACGACGAAATTTAGCAGATCAGAATGTCTCCAAGTTTGCTTTGACAAGGCCTGTACATGGCTACCGTAAGTGTAACTGCTGTGTGCAGTTGCATGTCACCTGTTGCGAGCCCTCCCCTCTCTCTGCCGTTTCCACCTGCTCGCCTCGCCAGGCCTTGAAGAACCAGGAAGAGCAGCTGGATCAGCGCGAAGAGACGCTACGACAGGAACCGACCTCGACCGACCTCGAGTGACCCGACGGACGCGCGGCGACGGCCGGAACCGCGGCCGACCGTGTGACGCGGACGGCCCGGGTGAAGGGAGGTTCGTTCAGAAGAGTTCGTCCAGCAGAACGGGCCAAATTGGTTCATAGTTGCTTCCTTTGTTGGAGCAATTTGGCCGCCAGTTCCAGCACTCTTAGAATTAGTATTCGTATTAATTATAGTACTCACTCAGTGATTTTGTGAATGTTACTCGACCTCGACCGCGAAGTTGGATCTAGGAGGCGAAGGCCATTGCGAAGAACTTGGATGGAGAGATCTTGGAAAGGAAGGCGACGACGGGGGGCCATCGCTACGTGGTTGGAGGCCATGGGCCATCGTTCTTAAGTTGGAGGCCATTGCTACATCCCTAGTAGCGTCCTTGCCCCTAGTAGTAAGGCCAGGAGCCCCTAGTAGCATCCTTGTTCCTGCAACTATTAGGTTGGAGGTCGCCGAAGGTCATCTTCTTTGGTGAAACAACTCGTGAAACGAGACCTTGAGGGCCGTGGGACGGGGGAGAAAAGCCACCGGGTTTGAGAATCCACGTTTTTCTGTTTGTTTTTTTCCAAATTGTTCATAGTAAAGCCTCCAGCTTCAGTGAACCATGGGGAAGGAAGCAGAAGTAGGATGAACTTCGACGAAGTTGGCACAAAATACACCACCTTTGCAGCACTGGCATGTGACGCTTCTCCATCACCTGGTGATTCTAGGTGGTCGCTTGAGGTCTTTAGGGCCATGGCAAGTGGTGTCACGTTCTTCAGTACAGCTGTAAAGTGCTGCGAACCACATTTGAGTTGAAACAATAACGCCAGAATAAATCGCAGATTAATTGCAAATTAGTTGTTTGACAGACTATTCTCTCATGAATTCAACAATGCAATGAGCAATGTTCATGCAACCAGCAACTAATCAGAAGCAAATAGCAAACTGTTGGATCTTTATGGCTCTTGTGCTCCATTTGTTCTGTGGGAGCTTCGCTTCTGCCTCATTCGCACCATGTCCTGGACCGCGCGGTTTGGTCTTTGCGCATGGCTGGCGCTCGTGGTTGCCAATGCCACTAGCTTGGAGGATGCTTTGGAGCTGGTGACGAAGAATGTCACAGGTCGCCTGGTGACAACATGGTTTTTGTTTTGTTTGTGGTTGTTGTTGTTGTTGCTGCTGTTGCTGTTGCTGTTTCTGTTGCTGTTGGTGGTGTTGTTGTTGTTGGCAGTTTTTGTCTCTAGGATGTGGTACAAACAAAAACTGCAGCCCCGTTACAGGATATCTTGTTCCTTTGTCTCTACAAGGGGGTGGACACAAAATCTGCAACCCCGTCGTTGTTATTTTGACCCCCCCACCCCCGAAAACAACCAGCCAACATGTACTTTTACCAGTAGTGGTAGTGCTTGTACTAGTGCTAGTACTAGTGGTACTAGTACTAGTAGTAGTCGTTGTTGTAGTGGTCGTAGTAGTAGCAGTAGCAGCAGCAGCAGCAGCAGCAGCAGTAGACTCAGTAGTAGTAATGGTAGTGGTAGTGGTAGTAGCAGTAGTACTAGTAGTAGTAGTAGTAGTAGTAGTAGTAGTAGTCGTGGTGGTGGTAGTCCAGTCAGCTAAGCCTCTGTAAAACTTCTACTTAGAACCTCTACCACATCCTAGAGACAAAAACTGCAGCCCCGTTGTTGTTTTTTTGAACCCCCCCTCAGAAGATGTTGTTGTCTCTACCCCCCCCTAGAAACAAAATCTGCAGCCCCGTTGTTGTTTTTTGACCCCCCCCCCAGAACAACATCCCAGAAAACAAGAAACAGACCAACCAAGACTTGAGTACCACAACGACAAGAAGTCCAGCTACTAACATCTCTCCAAACCTTCGACCCTATCCCTAACAGTACCCCTTTGAAATCCCTGACTTGCAACATGTGACAACTATGTTGAGCAGCTGTTTTTGTCTCTACCTTGTTGTTGTTGTTGTTGTTGTTGTTGTTGTTGTTGTTGTTGTTTATGTTTGTTTGTTGTTTTCTGGGATTCTTCCCTTGACGCTTCCAAGCTGGAAACTGTAAGGGATTCCTTCCAATGTTTGCTAGATCTCGGCACCAAAGTCTCTAAAACTCTCTGTCGCAATGCGCAGAACAAGATGGCTTTCGCGCAGCCAAGGACAGTTCGGCACGAACTTCACTCTGAAACTCAGCTTGTTTGGGGACGGATTGAGAGGGCTCGTCGAAGTTTGGCTGGGCTAGGCTTTGTTCTCTTTGACTTCCTACTCGTCTCATCAGGAAGTGAACCGTTTTTTCTGCTTCATCGCGTATATATTGGTATTCCCAAACCAGTATGCTGCATGTTTGTTCCATCACAATTCAGATCATCGAGTGTGAATTCCACCAATCTGCAGAATCTGCAGTGAAAGACAGCTTCACACATGCCAAAGGGAACAACCATTTTCGAGATGTGCACATCCGCGCTTTTGCTGGAAGTCAAAACGTCCAGTTTACAGCTCCCACTTGTTGGAATAATCAAACCTCACTGTGGGTTGCTATGTCATCGTGAGTGCATGCAGCTGCATGCAGGTATCCCTCCCCCCATTTGGTTTACCTTGAACCTCACGATGCAGCTGTGCGGTTTGTACTTCCGGGAAAAGAGCTTGATGTCCCGAGGTGGTGGTCAATATAATAAAATCAAATAAGCACACCAGGAGTCACAAAAGGATGCTGTTGAGTCCCTAAAGTGGATGTTCTGGGCACCCATGGGCACCCCTAACCTCCATTAAGCATCCCTTTGGAACTGCTGGCAGTGATATGTTTCTGTGAAAACACGAAAGGTATGGAGTGTGGAATCCAACGTGTTTGGCGTCGAACCGCTCGAAGTGCTCGACGGAAATCGAAAACAAAGAAACGCTTCTTTCTCACTTGCGTAGCTTGTCATGAATGCTCAAGAGGGCCCCCTTTTGGGGATTCGACCGGAGTGGCAGCGGACATCATGTCAAAAGCTGCGGAAGCTGCGAACCACATGTTTTGAGGCTCGAAACTCACACCGGTGGTTGCTTACAGGCGTCTCCATTTCAAGAGAGCTTCTGTAGCGCAAAATGCGCGAGAGTCCCAACCTTTTAGCTGATCTCTGTCAGCTGAAGCCAATCCCTGACATTCCAGGGAGGTGTGGAATGACTTTCCTCTTTTGGCCGTCCATACGACCCTTGGTGTGTAGTCGTTTTCAAGTTCATTCTTCAGATTGACGAACCTTTGCTGGAGGGTTGCCCACTGAAAGTTGGACTTGTGCAAATCTTCTTCCGCTTCGGTGAGCTGCCCTTTCAAAAATTCAACCTTTTCAATCATTTCACTCAACTCTTCCTCCTGCGCTGTGCACTGCGCCTGGAGCTCAAAGAGTTCCGCCTCCTGATCCCTGGTGATGTCTTGGAGTCTCACATTTTCATCTCGGAAGAGGCGAATCATCTTTTCTGTCTCTACGTCGGTTTGGGTTCCGACTTGTGAAGAGCTCGAGGTGGTGGTGCTCAACTCTTTAGACCTGGTAACCGGAGGGTTCAGTGATGTAGAAACTTTGAAGCACTGCCAAATGAACATGCCGAAGAGAATGACATAGAGCGCTAGGGTCACTTCAGGGGAGAGGAGGAATGCCAAGGTCTCCTCAACTGCCATGGCTTTCACACCCATCATTTGTGAAGTGAGAACTGCGAATGCTAGCTGCTTTGAGTTGCCGGTTCTTGCAATGGCGTGCCTTCTGGAGTTTGCTTGCCTTTCTGCTTGCGACTTCTTCTTGGCCGCTTGGAAGGTCATGTCGGACTGGAGGGAAAGGCAATGAGATCGTAGTCGATCTGCAAACAACTGTCTTGCGCTGTGCTTGGTGACTCCGTCGGCGATTTGGGCTTCCGACGATACCCACTTCAGGCGGGTTTTCATTCCCACCATTTTCTGCTTTGTCACCATGACCTCGATCTTGGTGCGCTTGTCACCCTGGAGGCTAGGAGTCTCGGCCTTCAAGGAGTCGTACAGGGCCTTGGCGTCCACGACCAATGCCGAAGGCATCTCAGGAACAAAGCTATCCACCTGGCGAAGCTGAAAGTCGTGGCGGATGCAGCCTTCCCAGAAAATCAAAAGATATTCTAGAGCGTCCATCGCTGCAGATGAAGCTTGGCTTTCGGCATTGAGGGAGGATCGACTGATCCGAGGCAGCTTGAAGCTGCGCCAGTCCAGGATGATATAGTCCTGAGTGGAGCCATCTTCCAGCGCTTGCTGGTTGCAGAGAAAAATCAGGTAGCCGCCCTGTGATTCGTTGTTTCTGCGCACTCCCCAAGCTGCGTCACTCATGGCGATCATGCACAACTTCTCCATATCGCCTCCAAGATCTCGAAAGATCAATGCTGTGTCGCCGTTGGATTTGGCGAATCTGAGAACTTTGTTGGCCTGGGATGCTGTCTCGCCAGTTGCCGTGGTGACCTCTCCACATAGCAGGGAAACCGAGGCGCTGAGGTGTGGAGATGTCTGTGTAGCTGGCCATTGAAGTGCTCCCAACAAAGCTCGAAGACAGCTCTGCTCTTTGGAGTTGAGATTGCGATTGGAGTCATAGTCGGTGCATGTCATCGGTTTCACTCCTTTGAGGTATTCGGCTTGATGCAGCTTGGATTCCGTGGTTGTTCGACTGAGGTGGCATCCACAAAATTCAAGAGGCTTGTCCTCGGTCTCCTCAGTCCAGTGCTTGAAGTTGAAGGCATCTTTCAATTGCAGCTTGAGACTTTCGTACTCAGGGTGGCCATCTTTTCCACAACCTAGTAGGTCATCAACATGTAGACCAACCAGAGAGATCAGTTGCTTGTTGGAGTCGTGGAAGGTATAGAGGCATTGATCCAAGGCGTGAGCCCTGAAGCCAAGGTTCTCCAGGCGTCTTCGGGCGACAATGAACCACTGTCTTGGAGCGTCAGCCTGGCCATATATTGGCTTGATCAACCTCATCAAGGTTCCAGGAGCCACACCGATGATCTCGCAGGCATCTTTTGGAATCTTGGCCCACAAGGTGCGTTCTTGAGGATCTCCTTGGAGAAAAGCTGTGGACACATCGGCCGTCCATCTTCCCCAATGACTGACCTGGCTGATGGCCAGGAGCACCTGTCTTGAAGTTCGTGCCAGAGTCGGGGATGACGTGTCAAGTGATCCTTGAAGAAGGTCAGGATCGGAGAATCCTTGGAGTACGAGTCTGGCTTTTGCTTTCAAACCACCTTTTCCATCCGAAGCCCATTTCAGGACAAAGCGAGCTTTCATCACTCTGTTGTGGTCAACCGCGGTGGGATCCATCTCGATCTCCCAGACGCCATTCTCGAAGATGCTGGTCAACTCGGCTCTTTTGCCTTCAAGGAATGCGAGCCTGTCCTCCAAGGTCATGCGACGTTCGCTGAGATCAGCACTTTCCTTCACATTCTTCTTCTTGGGGATTCCCGCTCCGACCGCTTGCCAGATGTGGCCACGGCCGCGAAGAGTCTTGCAGCGCTGAAGCTTGCTGGACATGTCGCCGATGTAGGGCGAACCATACTGTCTTGCACCTTCTTGGGTGAGTGGATAAAGTGTCTTTCCAGTCCACGCTTCATTGAAGTGCTGTTCATCAGGTGAATTGACATAGATAGTGCGGGATCCTTTCTGCATCGACAAACCGGTGGTTGTTTGTAGAAGATCCTTGGAGATGGGGAACTGCTCAGGATGATATGTGGTTGTCCTGCCCCATACGTGATTTCTGACCAGAAAACCATCTTCAAAGCCCCACCAATCCTTCGTTTTTCACCGAGGATGAACTCATTGTTCTTCTCATCGTAGTGCCATCCTTCGGGAAGCTTGGTGGATCTGCCAAAGTCGAAGGAGTGAAGGTCAACTTCGATGTCTCCAGCATCTGTCTTTGCCTTCTTGCGAGCCCAGATTGTTTCTTGCTGGTCAAATCTTCTTCTTCGATCCTGGAAGGTCTCAACCGTGCTGGGAGGCAAATAGGATGAGTCCACCATGGGAGCTGAAGCTGAGGATGAAGCTTCTGGAGGTAGTTCGGCTGGCCGTTCAAGATCATCATCCTCCGGAACTGGAGGTAGCCTTGACGGATCAGGCGGTGCCATTGGCGTTTCCATGTGTGACGGTTCATCCATAGGCTGTTCTTCATCTTCGTCATCTGTCAGCCTTCCTAGTGGCTGTGGTCGTCGTGTCTCTGCTTGTTCCTCTGGTTGAGGTGCCAGTCGCAGTGCTGCTGTTGGTAGCATTGCTGATGCTGTTGCCTGTACTTGTGGTGCGATTGGTACTGCAGCAGGGGGTGGTTCTGCTGCTACTGATGTGTGCTGTCGCTCTGAAGGTGTTTCCTGAGGAGATCCGACGGGATGTCCGTCTGATTGCACCGGAGAAGACATTGTCAGTGGTGGTGCCTCAGTGTCAGTGGGAGTGTATTCCATGTCACTGATTTCAGGATCAATCTCATCGATGGATCTTTTGTTGGACTTGCGAAGGTCGATGATTCGCACTGCTCTGCGCTGTCTCAGGTTGTGAAGAGCTTGTTGAACTCTGGAGGGTCCGTCAACCATGCCATTGTCGTTGACTAACTTCCTGACGTGCTGAGCGCCAGCCCTGAGGAGAACAGTGCCATGGGCCAACCAATAGCAAGCAACAGTGCCGGTATCAGGGTTGCGCTCGACCGCGAGGATGATGGCCGGACCTTTCCACCTAATGGTGTGTGCCTTGTCAGCAGCATCTCTCCAGTAGAGACATCTCTCTCCTGGGTAGAGGTCCTCGTCCTTGCCGGTGTACCGACGAAGTAGTGCTCGGCGCAACTTGACATCAATTTCTGCGTTGCCGCACGCTTGTTGTGCTGAGAACTTCATGCTCAATCTTCGATGAAGACGTTCTTGCTCTGTCATTTGCAGCTGCAATGGCCCGGTGCGTTCGTCTGAGAGGAGTCCAGGCATCGAAGGTTCTCGGCCAAGAGCAAGCTGTGCTGGCGTGAAGCCATACACGAAGGTGTTGCTGTTCATGGAGGGAACTATCCAGGCAAGGGCTTGGTGAACACCGTCGAGTCCCTTCAACTCATTCTCCATCATGAAAATGGACACTGCTTTTCGAACCAGCTGATGACGACGTTCAACGACACTGGTGCGGGTGTGAGCTTGACCGGGTGCAATTCGAAGTTCAATATCATGTTGTTCACACCAAGTTGCAGTGGCGTCAGATGCCCACCCAGTGCCTTCGTCGGTGTAGAGCTGTTTTGGCGGACCGTGGAACTGAATCCATGCTCGCTCCAAGGCCTTTTGCAGAGTTGGGCCTTTTTCATCAACAACTGTTCGAGCCGCCATGTAGCGCGTAGCTACATCCACCATCACAAGCACTGCGATCTTCTTTGCACGCTGCTTTCGGTGACCTGGTTCCAAGAGCATGCCGATCTCATCCATCTCAAGCCAGAGAACATCGGCTTGCAGCTGTGCATTGAACTCTGAAGGGCGATCCAAATGACTTGGAGCGTTGCCTTTCTTGACAGAGTGGATCTCGCAGTATGGGCAATGCAAATCTTGTACAGCGGCTTGTACTGCTTTGTTGCACCCTCGATCTTTGAGCATCTTCAACAAAATTTCTTTTCGAGGGTGTCCAAGGTTTCGATGCAACCGAAGGGCGGTCCTTGCAGCTTCATGGCCATGGGTGGTGCCAAGCTTTCGAAGAACTCCAGTGAGGGCCTTGTCATCATCATGTACTGCATATACTTGTTCGTTGAGCCCTTCATTGATGAGCAAGCCATGAACCAAGGTGGCAGCTAGCTCTTGCTGGTAGTCTTCAGCTTTTCGGCATCGATTTCGACCTTCTAGTCGTTGGTGGTGATGTAGGCCATTGCATCGCTTGGACATCAACTGATACATAGCCCACTTGGTAGTCTGTAGGCGAGTGGTCTTCTTTATGGGCAACATCGAGCCGTCATCTGCTTCGGCCGTGGCGCCATAAGCGCATTGATCAAAGATCGCTCTGTGGCCGGGCAGGTTCTTGAAGTTCCTGGTGTCCCACGCTAAGCTCCACGCAGGGTGCTCCACATGTGCATGATCTCCTCGGCGGACTTGCTTGTAGTATAGTTTCTTGCACATTGCCAGATGAGTGGCGTGGTCGACTTCTCGCCGTTCATGGAGATCGTGTGCTTGTACTTCATTGTGGATGTTCACCTGTTGCATGCGAGACCACAAGGTGCATCTTGGGGACATGAAGATTTCGTCGGGCTCCAGGTCGTCACATAGACGGAGAAGTTCTTTTCGGTGAGATGCTTTGTTGAAGTCCCACCCATCCTGGAGTCCGAAGCGCATGACCTCAACATCGCCGTGGTCCTTGAGCAGTTGGGAGATCATGCCTTCACCAGCGTAGACTTCCCAGATCAAGCGCTTTCTTCTGGCCAAACCGTGTTCTCGAGCGTGGTGGATCTGCTGTTTTAGCCATTTTCCTTGGTCAGCGCTCTGGGCTTCAAACATGGTGAAGAGCTTCTCAAGTTGCTCAACTGACTTGGTGGAGGCTTCCGGAGGGATTTCCACCGTTTCTTCTTGGTCCACTTCCATGTAGGTGGTGTCCTGCACATAGTCACCCTTTTCACATGCCTCGCAGTAGGCATTCACTTCAGTTGTCATCTCAAAGAACCGTTCATGAGCATTGAGGTCCTCGAGGAAGTCATGGATCTTGAGGGCGTGTTGATGGTCGTCCTCACAACGTAGGTCGAAGTTCACGGGTTTGAAGTCCGTGTAGTCATTCACTTCCTCAGCCAGGCGAAGAAGCATGGCTCCCTGACGGCCTCTTGGGATGTCCCGCCAGGGTTCTTGCTGAAGAAGGCGCATTTTGCCTCTGCCGAAGTCAATCTCCGCTTGAAGAGCTTCAAGGAGAGGTCGTCCAAAGAGCATCGGAGTTGCTCCATAGATCACATAGGCCTGAAGATGGCCTGAAATACCCGCCAGGCGGGTTGGGAGTTCAACCATCCATCTTGCGTGACCAGTGGTGTCACCTCCAAAGCGGAATGACTTGTCACATCGTTTGAAGGCGATGTCTTCCATGGGGTAGCCGATGAGCTCAAGCCATTTCAAATAGCGAAGGATGTACTCGCTGCCTGCCAGGAAGGACGAAGCTCCTTGATCTTGAATGCACGTGTCGGGTTCGTGAGTGAGCCAGCCACCGGCCCTAACCAAGGTCTCACCTTGTGTGTAGGCCTCCTCAACGTCATAGAAGACCTCAGGATCATAGGAGTCCTCAACATCATAGGAGTCCTCAACATCAAAGAACTCTTCATGGTCATAGGGCTCGGAGATGTGAAGTGCCAAGTGCACCATGGCGTCATCTTCTGCTGGCCTTTTCTTCGGGGAGCTGGAGCCTGTTCTCTGAGATGTCGGGCAGTTGGCAGCAAAATGTCCTGGCTTGCCACATCGGAGACAGATCATGGCTGAGCGAGCTCTCGCCTTGCCGCTTGGGCCTTTTCCGGCCGTGGAGGTCTTGCCTTTCGAACCTTTGGAAGGTGATTTGGACTTTCCAGCACCTTTCGACTTGCCCTTGAAGGGAGACTGAGCCATCACAGGTGCTTGTCCACCTTTTCCGCCATCCATCACTGCGACAACCGGGTAGAATCCTCTGCTCTGACGAAGTTGGTTGAGGCGGTTCTTGGCGTCAACATAAGTGCTGTACACTTCATCAAATTCTTGGGTGTCGAACATCGAGTCCAAATCATCGGGTTCGTCATGGTAGTAGTTCTCATCGGGCTCATAGTCTTGCCATTCACCAACAGGTTCCTGGGTCTCGGTGTCATACTCATGGGCGTCCTGGTAGAAGACGTCATCATCTTCATAGATCTCTTCATTCTCTTGGTCGTCCTCCCAAAAGACATGCTGTCCTTGCCGCTTCCAACGACCAGTCATCTGCGGCTTTCGGAGGTGTGCTGGTACATGAACATGACGATGATCTTGACCAAGGATGAGGTATAGGGCTTGTTCAACGGACGGTAGAGTGAGCGATGATCCAACATGAGTTTGAATCAGCTGTTCTTGCTCCTTGGTCAGCCCTGCACGTTTCACCATCATCCAGCCAGTGATCTCTTCCGGAAGGTCGATCCTGTGTTTGGAGATCTGCCGTAAGGTTTGGTGGAACTCTGTGACATATTCGAGGATCGATTGATCTCTCTTGCGCCGCATCTTGAAGAAAAAGTTCTCGAAGTGGGTAGGCATCTCTACTTTGGAGTCGTAGGCCCACTGTTTGTCCAGGCGCTTGAGCAAAATGTCGAGTCCACCTTCCTTTTCGAGTTCACTCAAATCCAGGTCCTCGCACTGAGTCCATGAAGGGCCTTCCAGCACTGACAAAATGTTCAGCGCGACTTCGGCCTTGCGACCTTGGATTTCCATCTTTCGGGCATACAGCTTCACTCTAGTTCTCCACTCTAGGTAGGAGGTGGTGGTGTTCTCAAAACGTGGTATGAAGCTGTCCTTGTAGTCCTTGCCGGTGCTTCCGGCGCCATTTGCCGCCGATCCAGCTGGAGGTCGTGAGGTTCCGCGCTCATGGCTGGACATGGCTGCACGGTCGCCGGAGCCCGCCGTTTTAGGCAGGCTCCGCTACCAATGTGAAAACACGAAAGGTATGGAGTGTGGAATCCAACGTGTTTGGCGTCGAACCGCTCGAAGTGCTCGACGGAAATCGAAAACAAAGAAACGCTTCTTTCTCACTTGCGTAGCTTGTCATGAATGCTCAAGAGGGCCCCCTTTTGGGGATTCGACCGGAGTGGCAGCGGACATCATGTCAAAAGCTGCGGAAGCTGCGAACCACATGTTTTGAGGCTCGAAACTCACAGTTTCTGTTTCTTTAACACCCACTCGTGATGTTCAAACCGTGGACTGCACCAGTTCATGACTCCAACAGGTAATGATGAAAGATCTTCCGAGATCAGAGAAGCTGCGTAAAGCTTCACTCTTTCTCAGAGTTTGTTTATAGGTTGTTTCTTCTTTTAGATCTACGAAAAAAACAAAGAAACCGCCTGAATATTCCAGCGAACGTCGTCCCGAAGCGAACGCGAAACATTTCAGGATCGAAGCCTTGGTTTGCAAGGAGGACCTTTGTGCCTCGAAGGCCACTGAGACGATGAAGCTCTTGAGTCCTTTGGCAAAGGATAGTGCTAATAGTGGTGATGAGAAGAGGTTCTATAGGGAGGTAGAGGCATTTGTGGAAGTCGTAGCTCAAACTGGAAAATACAGAATTTGCAGAATCCAACAGAAAGGGGTGGTAGTTGCTCCAGAACCCCTGTACTAATCCCTGTATTGTGTAACTGTAGAGGGTCCAAAACAAGTAGTATGTATGACCCTCGAGTTTCTTGAGCAATCCTTACATGAGCCAACAGATCCATCTAGACTCGTCTTTTTAGAATTATCCACAACCCAGACACTCTATGTATGTATTATTTCCACGACCCTTGACACCACCCCAATGTAAGCGAATATATATATATATATGTGCATATATTATATATATCATACATGGAGTGTTGGGCGGGTAGTACTGGGATGCGGGAGCCGAAGCCGCAAAAAACCAACAGGGAGATTGGTCATTTTGGCCAAGGTGATGCCCACTACATGCGTGCAGTCTACGGCTATGGTATCCGGACGTCACCCAACGTGGAGGTCCAGTGGCTGCAGCGGTTTTAGCGGTGTTCGGCGGGTTTACAGGCATGAGAAGGATCACCACAAGTGATTAACGCATATGGTGAACAGTGGTGAGATGTGCTCTCAAGCCTCCAAAGGTTTGTTAAAGTCCATTCATGATTTTGCATTTGGAGGGTACAGTTTGATCTTCACACTTTGCTGGCCACGCAGGCGCGAGTGAACCTGAGCTCGATGGAGATGAAGCTGATTCGTCACGAAGAGCCCTTCATTGAGGCGTGGAGCAGCATATTCTGTTGAACGCACACAACTGTTTATAAAGCTCCACTATTAGGTCGGAGGCCATGGCTATTAGGGTTTCCTTGATTGGAACAAAGCTCCACTAGCAGACTGAACTGTGAGGCTTCTCAAGCAATCTCCAACTGTTGCCTTGTTTAGGACGACATCCTTCACACTGAGTGGAGATCCATGTATCTACACACCTAGCTGTGTTCGATCAGAACTACCACTTCTTTTTTGCCTGGAACATCAACTTTGCGAGAGATCATCATGCTTAAGTTTCCCAAAAATCACATGCACTCCGACTCACCAACATGGAAGTGGATGGGAAGTCGTTTTCCTTTCGGGAATACACTACAATTCAACGCTTCCATATGTGTTTTTTGTGTTCGTCAGATGTTCGACCTCAGGTCATACACCTCAGGTCACATTCACATGTGTCGACATGTGAAAGGTGTAGATCTCGGTGGTCGCCGTATCATTAAAAAAATCTGAGTGTGGTCGTAGATCTGGTGACACAGTGATTTGTCGATCTGGTCAGGATAACCCTGGAGCTCACTGGCCCCCCCGTCTCGGGACTGACCTTTGAAGCGGCCTTTGCCAGGCCATGTGAACACTGCAGGGGGGAAGGATTTGGGGAGGCCATCGCTAGCAACAAGAAAAGGCAGAGACATTTGTTGGTTCCCATGTGTTTGGTGCTTTGAGCTTGGCACGGACAGAAAGGGGGATGACGGTATAGACTGTGGAGAAGTGAGGAGAGGGAACGAGGGAACCCATGTTCTTGGGATTTCTTCAAGCTTGTTGACCTTCATTCCATGTAGATTCCAGGTTGGAGAACCACTTGCATGGCAAAAATGAATAAGCAGCAGGCTTTCCACTCCAAAAGCCACGGTGCAGCTTGGATCTGTCGAATTCACCTCGCCAGGATCCGTAGTGAGATGGATGTGACCATCCAACAGGCTGGTGCCGAGCTTTAGCTCTTTCATCCGGTACGATTTGTCCGTTCGATGATGGCGAACGTAGCTGATTCCTTGAGCCTTCGAACGGACACACTGTGGCCGCACCCACCTTGCATCCAGCGGATCCAGCCTATTGCAGATGATGCGGATCCTTTCGGACATCTCGTCATTGACCAGGTGTTGTTGAAGTTTCAGTCACCACAAGAGAGGGACATGCAGATGCAAATGGGGACCATCCCATGGTAGCCTTCCATAGACCATACTAATCAAAAGCACGTAGAACTCTTACCATTGGACTACCCTCCAAACTTAGGAGTTTATGAATCAATGAACCAAAAAAAGCTGAGCCTAATATAGTCGTACAGTAATTGTAATGTCAAACTTCAACATTGAAGCACAGGGATGCACAGGGTGAATATCGAATATGCTACCTGCTATACCCTGCTATCACCACCTGAAGAGAAAACCCTGCTATACCCTGCTTGGTCTCACAATGCTTGGTCTCACGCTGACGAGAGGTCTCACCACTCCCGTCCTCCAACCTACTCGTCCGGGTCGAGCTGTGTCGAGGCCACCTGGAGGCGTCCGGTGCATCCGTCACTGGGCGTCAGAGGGGAAACAAAACAAAGCGATGTAAAGCGATGTAAAATCCATTAAATCCTTTTCCTTTTTAATTGTGTGTTCCTTTCTTCTTTGGACCTAGCGATGGCCTCCAACCTATGAAGGAAGGGGGAGGCATTTTGATGAAGTGTTTACTCACGTGAGAGGGAAAGAATAAACTCATGCACTTCATTCAAGGTACTATCGTTATTGCTGTGGTGCACCTTTCGGCTTATGCTTTGTGAAAAGGTTCGGTTGTTGAATTATTGTAGGAATTGTGGGTTGAGAGCATGTTCAGAGCATGGACAATGTGCATGTGATGTGGATGTCCTTGGTGTGTTTTCTTCTTGTTTGTGTGCTTTGAGGGACACATGGATCCGGGAGGACCTTAGAAAGACCACTCCAAGCCTTTGGCAAAAGGTCCCAAAAGCTATGAACAGAAAGCGCTGAGCCGCTGCTTTCCATCCAACACGTCATCCAACGACCAATCTGCTGCGGCTTTACCTGATCAGACTACGTTGTCACACACGTCGTTAGGTGCACCTCGGAGGACATTTTCCAGTTCGAGCTCATCCCTGACGTGGGTGATCCTCGTATCCTCTCTGTGGGTGTGTCCTCAGGCAAGCTTTGCAATGGCTTCATCACGGAAACTTGGTGGAGCTTGATGCAACGATGTGCATGTGAGGTAGAGGCGAAGTAGTGCAACTTGCATAGTGAGAATGTGTGCGAGTTCTTGTCAAATGAATGACCCAATAGTATATCCAATCGGTAGCAAGTATTCCAAAGGTCTCTGACTCAGAAGAAGATCTGCAAAGATATGAATCACATAATATTGCATTCCCTGCAAAAGCGCTCAAGTCAAGTCACTCTGTTTCAACGCAGACTCCGCCAAGGAGAAGGTGAACCAACCTATGTGCCCCGAGCCACAGTGCTTCGCGGAGATCATCGTCTGAGCGGATGAGCTTTGTTCTGAGTGCAAGTAAATGGAGTTACTAGATTGGGTGCGTTCTGTAACCACAATCACTGGGTTTCGCACTTACATGCAACCCTGAAGTGGAGCTACTTGCAATCATAGCCTTGTTCCAGCAGAACCATGGGCTTTGTGGCAATCCCAGCCAATAGGAAGAAAGTACTGGTGGAAGGAACTTTGAGCCCAAAGATAACAAAAAAGGCTAACTTTGCAATAGTGGGTCCTTAGCGAGCAACCCGTGCAAGCATTAAGTCTCCCTAATAAGTCATGTCGTTGAGCTCAGATGAGCAAAGCATCGCAAGTAGCTCTGATGGCTTAGCTCGTGAGGCGTTTGGCCTTCATCAGCGAAGAAAACATGTCCTTTCTTCCTTTTGTTTTTCTTAGTTTTTAATAGTGATGGCCTCCAACCTAATAGGGATGGCCTCCAACCTAAGAGCGATGGCCTCCAACCGAAGAGCGATGGCCTCCAACGTAATAGTGATGGCCTCCAACCTAATAGTGATGGCCTCCAACGTAATAGCCATGGCCTCCAACCTAAGAGCAATGGCCTCCAACGTAATAGCCATGGCCTCCAACCTAGAAGCGATGGCCTCCAACCATGTCCGTGATGGGTACCATGAAGTGCGATTGATGTCGAGTTTGGTGTGTTTCTTTTTTGAAGGAAGGCGTTGCTACTGTAAGGGGGATATGGGCGTGACAAGTGCTCATTGACTCATGATGACCTTGGAATTCTTTCAAGTGATCCGATTAGCCCTTAGCTGGTTTTAGATGAAGAACAACTGGCGACTTGGCAAGGATAGTTGGCCAGCATGTGGATCAGACAAGAAAGCAACGCCAGTGTGGGATTTGCAGAAGTTGAAGTTAATCCTCGAGGTTTCAAAGGAATTCCAGCAAATCCCAGACAGCCTTTGCCTTTGCTCCACACAGCTGCACAGGTGATTGGAGTTGAAGTCCGAAAGCAGAAGGAGTTTTTGAACGGAGAAGCCTTTCAGAGGCCGCACCGTTGGAGACCGATCTACGTCTACCGAGTCTCTCTGTTTCCGAGCCCCCTTGCGGCCGGTGTTCGACTTGGGCGAAGGTCTTCGAATTGGGGACAAAGGTTGTTGTTCTGTTGTTCATTTCAACTGGATGCTGGAGCATCGTTTACAATTTTTTACATTGACCCTGTATTGGGAAGTCGCAGACAGATTTGGTACTTTCCGGTCACAACAGGGGAGTATCCACCCAGACATACTAGGTCGGTCATTTTGTTATCCCATTGTTTCAACCAAAAAGAACACAACTCTTCCTCACTGTGAGTGAGAAGAGGAGAGAAGAGAGCCGGTCGCGAGGCATATCGAAGAGACCTGTCAGCGTACGCTCCAAAGCTACGTACGCAAGGAGGTGATGATGGACGAGGTGTCCGGCTCCGCTCCCTCGGGAGACCCCGGTCTCCGCAGTCCCACCGAGGGTCCGAGGAACGACGAAGATGCCCCACGTGTTTTGTTCGGAAGCTCCTCTTCTGAATCCCATTTCAGTGCTTGCCACTTGGTCTAGCATCTTGAACTGATACGAATCAGTTCGTGCCAAAGGTATCCCAGCAAAGGTTTAGGATGCTAGTTTAGAAATTCCCAGCAATCATCATCTTCAACCCAGTTCAAATTGCAAAGATTGGCATCCCGCACGCGCGTGCACTGCTTGCCGCCGCTTGCCACCCAGGTGCAACGCTCCACCGAGGAGAACTGCGAGCCACTTCGAGTGCTGATCGCACGGATTCAGAAGGCAACGGGGCCCGGCGGCAACGGGGCCCGGTTTTGTGGCGCCATGACGCATGAAATGACCGCGGCACAAGACATATTGATCAAGACTTGTGAAGCATCATGGACCAGCTCTTGGTTTACTTCACCAGTTGCTTTCGCTCTCCACTGGTATTGGCTTTGTTCCCCGCAGTTGTTGAGCCTCCCGGCCATGTCAGTCCACCCGATCCAACTTGAAACAGGAGCTCGCGGCCATGACGGAGGAGTTTCGCACACGTGATGCGTGCGCCGTGTGGAACCTGCCAGAGAAGCGCTGAAGGTAAGGAGAACGGTCCAATGTTCCCAAGAGCTATAACGCCTGCGAGTACTTATTATGTGTTCTCTTAGAGTACTTATAGGTTTTGGGTAGGGTGTTACGGTGTCATCAGTCAGCAACAACCCTGAACCCTTGAACAATGAAAGAACGCAGTGGTTCTGTCGTCCATGAGTGTCTTCACCGACCCCTTACTGCGTTGGTCTCACCGAGGTACATCGAACAATGCCTCGAAAGCGCAGATGCGCGTTGGGTCCTGAGAATTCTCCGGACCGACCGGTTCGCTGTGCCGGAAGAACGGCCCTGAGCCTAGTCACCTCACGTCACCTCACGTCACCTCACGTGGCCGGATCCAAGAACAAGTAGTCTCCCACTGCGAAAGAGTTCTCTCCCAGTTCGTCTTCCCGATTCCCGTGGTCCGCAGGCATTGGGAGTTTGGGCCCAATCATGACGCCCGTGGACCATGTTTCTTGTGCCATGTTTGGTGACTCCAGGCTTACAGCAGAAGGACGAGAACCTCAGCGATAGGAACAAGTGGGAAGGGCTAGGGCGCTTTCATGTACGGTTTCAAATCGTTGGAAACTCTGACAACAAGCAGCCCATAGCAGCCCCAAGCAGCGATGTAATTCCATGACATTCCAGAACAAGTTAGGAACTCCAGTGCTTGTCAAGATGCTTTCAGTGCTTGTCAAGACACCGCATCTTCGGTGTCTCAGTGGTTCACCTGGCGGTCGACGGGAGGATCAACGCGGTGATGGACGAACTCCCGAACAAAGCCACCAACGAGCGTGTCGACAACCTCAGAGGTGTGATGGGGAGAGGATGAGGGCCTCCCACCTAGAAGCGATGGCCTCCAACCTGATGGGTATGGCCTCCAACCTACTAGCGGTTTTCTGTGTGATGTTATAGATTGTTATCGTTTTGTTTTGGTTTGGCGGTATTTCTTCCAAGATGTTCGGAATCATTTCTCGCGACAAATTCTTTGTTTGGCCCATGACAGCGGATCAGCGG